CCACTCGAACACAACGTGGTGCGATCATCCCCCTTGCGCGGAGTGAGGGTTCTCGNGTGCATCCTGCTAAGGTTGTTCGGCATCTTGTGGTTACTTCCTTGCGTATGGATGACAGCTGCGTATGGCATTATATATTTTCTGGTGCTTTCACTTCCAGAGACATTTGTAAGCACTGTGTAACTGCCTCGAGGGTGCTTGACCACTCGAACACAACGTGGTGCGATCATCCCCCTTGCGCGGAGTGAGGGTTCTCGACCCCGCACAACATGATCTACTCGATCACCGTTCATGGTCACCGCAATAAAAGAAAGCATAGGCAAAAGAAAAAACGGTAACCTGGATGCTGAGCTCACGAAGTTATCGACTTGTTTTACAACATCGCTGCCAATCGACGAAAACCTAAACTCGATGGCAAACACCGTGAGGGGCGGCTTGTTTTACGACGCCGTTGCCACGCGACGAAAACCCAACCCCGATGGCAAACACCAAGGGGGAAGCAAGGCTTGGCATTGTTATTGCGGTTGACAACCCAGCGCAGAGAACGGCGGTGGGTCCATGAGGAGTGTAGGGTGTTCTTTGGTTTCGAGATATGGCTGTTGCATTGGATATATTGTCTTATGGATGAATGAATAGCGCGAGGCACGAACCAGGTTGCCACGACGATGCAATACGTGTACAGAATGACGGTCATGCGGCGGTGCCTACGGGTTTCCGAGAAGACAGGCCCAAATTTCACTGAGATGTGACTGTACTACATAGTAGGGTACCATGTCGTCTCCTTCTTAGGGTGAGTCCCTAATAGTCTTCGACGCGTGCATAAGGGCGTACATTCGAAGCCGCTTAGACTCCGAACGGTTCGACAGGTAGCTCTTTCGGCGAAACACGATTTGCAACTCTCACTGCAAATGTCTCTGAAGCCAGCCCACTCCTTCTACAAAAGCAGACGCTCGTTCGCAAGAACCAAAGCAAGCCATTGAAGAGGGGGGACCTTTTCGTCGCAAACAAGACGGTGCATCGCAGAGACAAATCCCGTTCGCCCGGAGAGGGGCCCTGGATCGAGAAAAATATCTACTGTAACGAATCATGCCTGTCCAGCTCCAGCACAGGTGGAGGTCGACACTCCTTCCCAAAAAACTCGGATGCCCTCGCCCCCTTGTGAAGACCTTGACAAGGTCGACCACCTTAGAGAAGACAACCGAGGCCTCGAAAATACCTCGATATCTCCCCTTTCGAGGCCTTGGTTGTCTTTCCAAGGTGGTCGACCTTGTCAAGGTCTTCACAAGGGGGCGAGGGCATACAACTTTTTGGGAAAGGGGGGTCGACCTCCACCTGTGCATGTAAGGAGGGTACCTTTGCAATCTGAACGGGATGAACAGAAGAGGATGAGAATGTACATGTAGTAGTCAGCTTTTCGTATGGGAGTGCCGACACATGAGGTGTGTGTTCAGCACAACTTCTTCTGCTCATGAAGCAACACTTTGAGACATGCAGTTGTCTATTGACGAAGAAATAGTTGAAACAAGCAGTTGGTCTGCTCACTGCGGGCGTACACCGGTGTGAAAGCGAACTCATACCCACTCGGACCGTAGCAGTGCCAATGCCAAAAAGGCCCCGGACTTGCCTTGCCTAGCCCACTCTCGCCCGCCACCATGACTCGTAGCTGGTCCGGTGCTTGACTTTGCTGTGGAGGTCCTGGTACCCGCACACTGGCGCCCACAACGGGGGAGCCCATGCCGGAGTCACTCGCCATGGCTGTACTAGGAGGCATCCTTGCAATGAGTTTGGGTGCGGTAGCGGTGGGACGACGAACGCTTTTTGGTGTGCCGCACATTGATTTTTGAGACGGATGATTGGTCTTAATTTTTTTTTTCACGGCATTCGGCTAGGACACGAGTCAGTCTACGCGAGGCCACAAAAGTAGTCTGTTCACACATCGTCTTAGTCGACATACTACTGTATTCTCGTAGGTACTGCGTGTGCGTGCGACGACCGGCCACCCGATCCAATCTTTGAATAATGAACTATCGCGGGATTGCTGTGTTGCGCATGCCGGCACCGTGGTTGCAAATGCGATCGTCGGTAGACGCCAGTACAACAGAGTGAGCGCACAGGATGGTGAACCTACAGAATGAGCATGTTGATGATGTTGATCAGGCCGGGGTGTTTATCGCCAACAAGAAAATGCTCCATTTCGCTGCCGTCTACAGAAGAAGCAGCTGGAAGCTGTAAAGGAAGAAGGACGAATGGCAGACAGGGAGAGGGTGAGGGGGAGAGAAAGAGATGTAGATAGAGAGAGAGAGAGAGAGAGAGAGAGAGAGAGAGAGAGAGAGCGAGAGAGAGAGAG